CTTCTCCAGGCTGAACAAGCCCAACTCTCTCAGCCTGTCCTCATAGGAGAGGTGCTCCAGCCCTCGGATCATTTTTGTAGCCCTCCTTTGGACCTGCTCCAACAGTTCCATGTCAATCTGGTATTCCCCACAGTGCAGCAAGCTCTTTTATTACACACTGTAATTCACAGCTTTATTAATTAGATTGTCCTTCAGACAGCCTTGGTGGTGAAGAATGTGTTCATAACGTAGTTGAGCACATACTCATAATGGTATTTTTCAGTTTGTATCAACTCATCTGCTGTCTGTCTTCCTCTGGGGCATAGCATAGAAATGCATAATGCAGAACATATGTGCAGTTATCGGTATTTAGGCCTCACTTACCTTGGTCTGAGATTATGAAGATTGTCCTTCAGACAGCCTTGGTGGTGAAGAATGTGTTCATAACGTAGTTGAGCACATACTCATAATGGTATTTTTCAGTTTGTATCAACTCATCTGCTGTCTGTCTTCCTCTGGGGCATAGCATAGAAATGCATAATGCAGAACATATGTGCAGTTATCGGTATTTAGGCCTCACTTACCTTGGTCTGAGATTATGAAGGTACTGAACACTTTCTAGCTTCTTTGCCCACGATAATTTTGCACAACAGAGAAGCAAGACACTGTAATCACAGTGGAAGCTTTGGTCTGAGGTAGAGCATTACTTCTTGAAAACTAGTGATTTTCTTCCCAAAAGTCATCCTTTAAATCTTCAAAGATTTCAAGTGGTAAGGAATTAGATTTTTTGTATCAGCTGAAATATGGCATATTCAACAGCGTAGCAGAATTTAACATCATAATGGAACACCATCTCACTGTTAATGAGTCAATGAAATTTTCCAGCCTTCATTTTAGGTAAGTACATTTGACCAGCTGTAGGCTTAAAGCTAGAACTGCTCCAAACAAGGTCTCAGTTTCTGGACCATCATTTCAAACAACAGAGCTTTCTTTTCTTCTCCCATAATGTTTATTCAGAGAGGATAACCTGCCCAGTCTTTTCTTGATTTTTATATGTATCAGTGCTGACAGAAGTATTCAGTTAGTTCACCCCAAGCTGTTCAGGATGGTGTCCCCACTGACTCCATACAAGGGTCCATCGATAAAGATCCTCAAAGTAAAGACAGTTTTATCACAGTGACAAGTTGATCTTCCCATATCTGTAGGGCTCTTTGAACAGCAGGAGATAATGTAAGCAGCTGGTGTATATGGAGCAGTAGTTGTTCATTGTTTCTCATAATGCCACTCTTACAAGTCATTAAAACAAGCTACTGTGGCTACTGTACACTAAAGTGAACACAGTGTATAGTTAAACTGGAACCCGTCAAGGCAGGATGCTGCCTATATCAGAAGTTTAGGTGAGTTCAGGAGTAATTAAGGACAAACCAAAAAAAATAACTACAAGCACTAAAAAAGGGGCATCCTCTTACTCAGGAAACACGTAAAGCAGAGTTTGTTGGAGGCTAGAAGGATCCCTGGGGGAGGTAGCACTGTGCACCTGCCTGTACTCTTTCTGTTGAAAGAGTTGTTAGAGACAAGACATTAATCTAGATTAACATCTGCTTTGACCCAGTGGAGCCTTTCTTACATGTAGGAGGGATAAAGGTCCCTGTCATCCTGAACTGTTTGTGCAGAGGCGCTGGAGCCGAGGAGCGTTGCTTCCAAATGCAAGACACCCTGCGCCAGTCTAGGGAAGAGGTTATAGTGGAAGTAGTCTGTCTCATTGGACCACATAGAGAAGTTAATTTCTAACTGCTAGTCTTTTCCCTGGACTAGCAATACCCCATATGAGTAATTTTGCCTTGATAGTGTCACTCATGAAATTCTACATACACTTTGATACTTTAACATATCTTCCAGAGCTTGATCATGACCTGAAGATAACTCATTAGTCTACTAGTAACAGTAATTATTATTATGATATCAGTTAATCTCTTCAACTAGCAGATTCTGTTCTCAGTGCACGTATCCATGCTGTTTAATTGCAAGCAATACATGGAGAAAGTATTTTAAAAATAAGGAAGCACAGAGCTGAGGGGGAGGCTGCTTAGCATTAAACTGTTACCCTAATAAAATTATCCTTTGGCATTGCAGAACTTTATCATTTTACTTCACTTGCTTCAAAATTTCAGAATTATTATGATCCCTTCATCTCAAATCAATATCTCACTGCAATGCCATAAACCTCTTTTATTTCCAGGATCAAATCTTGTAGTCAACTATATACATTTACAGAGATTTAATTAAAGTGTTGACAAAATCCCGTGTGCGTGTAGTGAGCTTCATCATAACAGCGCATTTGTCTTTTCAATAACTGTGGTAGCATAATAACCTCTATTTTATGTTGCTAGAGTGGAGGAGATGCCAGAACTACAGTGATTCAGTGATGGGAGTGTACTCACCACCACTCTGAAGTAGGATTTGAGAGTTTTTCTAAGTGTCTCTCCGGCGGAACTCTGATAAAATGACTAGATTTGAAGAGAAGTGGAGACCAATAATGTCATTTACCTTGCCTTTAGCAAGGCTTTTGACACTGTCTCTCACAATATACTTGCACCCAAGTTATGATGTTATGTCTGGATGTGTGGACAACAAGATGGGTTAAAAAATGGTTGGCTGGTCAGGCTCAGAGGGTAGTGGTTAGTAAGTCGTATGCTACCTGGATGCCTGTAACAATTTGAGTAACGCTGATTTCTTCTGCAGGACAGAGAATTTATTTTCCTCTGTCCACTGCTGTTGCAGTGCACAAAGTAGTACCTGGGGTTAGTGGGATTCTTGAGTTTCTGTGAGAGAGAACACGTTGAAACTATTGCAGAGTGAGAAATGCAGTTGTAGAGCTACGTCTGAATTCAGAAGATTGTAAGTCAGTCCTTTTCTCTTGGGGATTTCAGCAACTTTGTGCAAATGATTTAATTTCTTTTCACTCCCATGAGAGGAAACTAAAGCCAGGCAACTTAAAGGTAAGGTAATTGTTGGCAGCTCAGCTTCTGTGAAATAGATTAGGGACTGATCCGAGGGTAGTTTGCCATTTGTAGTGACGTGCGAGGTGGAAGTGCTGGAGCTGATTTAGCAGGAGCTGAAACGGGAAATCAGTACAAGGCCTAATTTATCACCGCTGTTCTGTGTTCTGCTGCAACATGCACAAATTGTTGTACAATGAATGTATTGCTGTTGTTCTATACATAATCTAGGTTTAGAAGGATGATGATTAGTAATATCTTACTGCCTTAAATTGCCTTTAGATTAAAGAAAAAGTCCCAGTCGGTGGATATTAGTGGGCCAGGATGCAACCCAGTGGCAGCTGAAGCTCAAACACCTCAGCCCAGTAAATCTTTGCTTGCCACTAAGACAGCTACTTCTGAGGAGGAACAGAACAACACAGCAAACACCCAAAGACGCAATCCACGGAGGAGTGAGTTGAAGAGATATTACACCATTGGTGAGTTTTCTTTCACAGAAAAAAATCAAATATACCTATTAAAAAGGCAAGGTTTTCCTTTTTATTTGTCGTTTATTATTTCTTTTGGTTAACTGTAGTTGGCTACTGAGATTAAAAATGTCCACAGTGAGCATTAGGATGTCGTGTCTTAATGCTGATGTCAAACTACCCTGAAGAATGAACCTGCTTTATTTATCTTGCACTTTTTACAAGAATTCTTTCTTCTGCCTTTTTTTTCTTCTGAAGAGCAAGTATTGAAGAAAGCATAAAAGCAATTTTGGGGGGAAGGAGTTAGGAAGAATATAACTGCCTTTGACAATGGATTGTGTCAGAGTTTTGCAGAGATTGTTTAGGAGGCTCCTGTTACAAAGGATTTCCAGTTTGAGTGTGAAGGATTAATTAGGGGACTTCCTGGGTATCTTTCTCTGAATGTTTTGTTTTTCTTAATATTCTTCTGGGATTTCAGTGTCTACATGATTCTTGTAAGACCATCTTGGGCATCCTAGAAGATGCTTCATAACTTGCATTCACATAAATAATTTCAGGACTGGACCTGATTCCTTTGGCAACATTTTGCTTCTCGGCTGGTTAAAACTGAGTGGAGAGTGGCCTTGTAGTGACTGTGCCGGGTTCATTAGCGCTTGTGAGAGGCAGATGTGCTAATGAGAGAGGTACAAACAAGAGGGCTGGATGCTAATGCTGTGCTTTGAAGAAACAAAATGTCAGTAGATGTAAGAAAAAGTTCTGTATTTTAATTGTGGGTTTGTGTGCTGTTGAATTATTGCATTATAATGTGATTGTTTCTTCTGTTCCAAGGTAACTATTCATGTGCCTTGTCTAAAAGGTAAAGAAAAATGTGTTGCCTTAAACATCTTTCATTGTGTTACATGTCTGAACCCTTGAAACTGGTTGTCATCATAAGTTACTTTGTTTTTAAGGAAGGAAACTGCCTTAGCAATCTACACCTTTTAATAATGAAGGCTGTATTTTAAGTGGTGATTGATTGTATATGTTTACATTTTTTCATGCCTGACATTCAGATGGGGCTGCACAACTGCCTTCTGAAAACTCATTGAAGTTTCAATTATCACTCTATCCTGTGTACCCCAAGATAAATAAAAATGAGGCAAACTGAAGGCATTGATGGGGTTCATTACCATCTTGGACAACAGGTCTAAAATTTGACTTTAAAAAACTCATATTGCATAATCCTTCTTTAAAGAAGATTCTGTTGTATCATGTGTGAGAATAGCACCCTAAAATAGATACTTTATATGTAAGTATAGAACATGTTTTCTGACAAAGTGCAGTTAAATCTGTGCGCTTGAGTGGCTTTTTACTTTAAAATGTATTCTCTAGGAAATATTGCTCCATGGCTTTTTTTTCCTCCTTCCTCCAAATAATCTTAAAGGGACATCAAACATAGGCCAAGATTGCTTCATACCTAAAGCAGGGAATGGAATGGGGGAGTTTTGCATAAGAGTAATAATGGAAGTAGAAATCCACCACACCATCAAAATGAGTTCTTAATCTAACTCAGGATTAAAAAACATTATTGGTAAATTGGCCGTAGTTGAATGTTCTTCATGATCACCCAAAACACAGTCTATGATGGAAGCACAGACTTAGGTGTGCGTTTAACTACTTGGTAAATTTGACTCACCTGCATTTGCTTTTGGGAACCTTTACAAAGTGCTTATAATGTGAACTCCATCAGTGTTAGTGACCTAGATGTGCTTCTAGTGATCCCAAGGTCTGAGCAATAGTTGCTCAGGATCTAACGTCAGTGCTGGAATAACAGAATGCTGTTCGTACATTTGATGAATTTGTTTGAATATTGTGCAGCGCTTGATTTGACAGACTTGTTGACTGGAAAAGACCTCTGAAGGTTATGTAGTCCAGTGTCCTGTTTGAAGTGGGACTTCAGCCAACAATAGATCAGAACAGCCAAAGCTTTGTCTTGCTGAGTCTTGACAGTCTCCAGGGGTGGATACTCCACAGCCTCTCTGCATATCATGCTGGAACATGGACAGCATGTTCATAGCCAACAGCATTCGTGGGCAACTTGCCCATAACCAGATGCTAACGTTTGTGAACAACAGTTGTAGACCCTGGAGAAGTATGAGGGGAACAGACCAGAGTAAGTGGCCAAGCTTACATGTTTTTCTTAAATATCATCTTCCGTTATCCTTGTACAGCGTAGTGGGTGAGGTGGCCCGGCTGGACTGTCCCAGTATGGAAGATGTATTGGTTTTGTGTTCTTATACATACGGCCTTGTCTGTGTGACTTGCCTAAATCACAAGGGAGAAGTTGCTAGAGCCAGTATCAGTGCATATGACACAATGTTTGAATTTTGCTGACAGACAAATTGAAGAAAGAAGAGTTTCTCTGTATCTTCACAAGCATTTAATGCCACAGGTTCCTGAATATTGTGAAAATTAAAGGTTTAATCTTGGACAGCACAGTACTGATACCAGGTGGACATGTTTACTGTACTGGCTGAATTGTTCTGATACTGAGTCTATGGCTTTGATAACCTGAGAGAAACAATAATTCTCTTAGAGCTCTCATCAACTTCAGCATACTGACCTATATCACCCCCTTGATTTAAAAGTTGTTTTCTATGACTTGTCTCAAAAATTATTTCTAATAGTCGAAGTCTAATCAAATAGTTTGTTACATTCTGAGGATGAATCTACTGACACACCTGCAATGGGCTGGGACTCTAAATAAAGAAAAAGATCGGATTCTAGTGATGTTTTGTGTGCAGTTGGCTGTTAAATAGCTTAAATGGGCACATTAAGCCTGTTGCTGACCTAACACAATTACATAGGGCTTTACCTTGTTTTGCCCTTGTTTGCATGTTGTTCTCTGCTAAAAGCAATCTGTGTCCAAGATCGAGCAACGTGAACTAATTACTGCTGTGATAAATGGATTAAGAAAATGTGTTAGAAAACTAATGCTCTCCGCTGGCTTTGCTTCTTTCATTTTAAAATTAGTATTCTGTTGCATTAACCTCAGACCAAATTGGCAAATGACAGTGTTTATGGTAGTGACTAATGGAGCTTGAGCAAACAAACACCAGTTGTGGTTTGTGTTACTCTCATTTTCCTTAAGAACTGATTTTCAGTAATTATCATGATCTTCAAAGTACTTTATAGATATGAAAACTGAGTTCAAATCTGGATATATAAAAGTATGACATTTATGTTTAGACAGGTACACATATGCAGTTTATATGTTTTAAAATGTAAATGTCAGCATCACATTGCCTATTAAAACTTAACTTTAAGGCCTAGTTGGATTTGTTAATGGCTGCCCATTGTATTGAATAGCCATGCAGCTTACAATTGTGCATAAAGAAATGTGCAACCAGCTTTACTTTATCAACTCATGGCAAGAGTAAAATTAAAATGGTTTAAAAAATATGATTTTTTGATTTGGCTATGCAGAAAGCACTTCACAGATCTTTATACCAATCTCATTCTGCTTTGCAGACCCAAAACCACGTAGGCATTTACCTTGCACACGCACGCTTTGCAGAAGAAATTGTAGCAGCTTGTGTATGCTTGCAGCTACTGTGGACAGATACAGGCAATTGTCCAACAGACTGTGTTCCTAAATACTCTGTAGCATCAGAATTTTTTAATTTTTTGTGTCACCTGATGTGTACACAGATTTTCCTCAGACCTTTCGAAATCGAATGTGTAATGAGTAAGGAATATCCTGGTAGTTCCAAAAGATTTTAAACTTTCATCAGTGCTGCTCCTGCTTTAGAGAGCTGTCCACAAGACAGCTGTTTTGCATTTTGTCTTTCCCACCAACTGCATCTCAGGTGCTTCCCAAACTTAATAAGTGCAGTTGCACTTTTTAAAACTGGAGAAAAAAGTAGGTAAGAAAGAGGAGTTTAGAGGAATAGGCAATGGGGAACAAGCTGTGTGCTCGGATGAAATGAAACAGAAAATGGAGAGTCGATGAGGGGGAGAAATAACTCTTCCAGATGGCAGGCTCAGCAGGCAGGAAGGCTCCTGCACCTCCAGTGCTGAACTGGTGTGAAGAAATTGAGTGGGAACTCCTAGATTAATAAGGCGAGTGTAGTAAAAACAGTCTGCATGGTGGGTTGGATGAAGTTTTTTGGAGAACTCTAGAAACAGCACCCAAGACACTTAAAAATAAAAACCTAAAATTAGACGTTATAGATGCTTCAGGCACTTAAAAATTCAGGCCACTTGAAGTACTTATTGTTGAGCAACTCCCTCGAAAGAGAAAAAGAAGGTATCTGGGTCTTCAGCACTCTAAAAAGTGGGCTGGAATGTTATACAATGGAGAATTACATGGGTAGCCTGAATTCGAAGCAGTAAGGCTTTATCAGCTTAACGCTGCATCCAGGCTACGACTGGCTCTTCTCAGCTGGCTTGCAGGTAGCCCAGGTGCAGCATCACAGCTGTGTTGCTTGTGGGACCCAACTAATGGGTTGTAGGGCCATACTTCATGGTGTGGTGCCTCAGGATATATGTGTAGCAATTTATTAAGGTGACTAAAGTAGCTAATGTGATTGCCTGCTCTTGAGATGTATGCTCTGGTTCTCATTAAGCCATGACAGCCTGGTGTATAGTGCTTAGATACCTCTAAGGGGATATACCCAGTAGACTATCTACTTCGTAACCCTGATTTTGTGGATGTAAAAGGCCTTCATTTGTTCTATTTGCCATTAAAATAAAACTGCAGCACTGGTACAGAGTAACTACATTATTTAAAAATAAGGTGGTTGCATGAAAATATTTTCTTTAGTCTAGAAAGCAGGCACAAAAAATCATGAAGCAAGACAGTAGTTCATACTAGAAAATGTTGTTAGAGTACAGTGTTGGTGGGGAGAGGAGGAATGCAGCAATTCTTATTGTATCTTCTAATGTCTTATAAAAGCCTCAATGCAAATGTTGCTGTACAGGTTTCTGCTAGTACAGCTTTATTTCATTTAGAAGACAACTCTCAACTATCT